TGGGCTATGTGCTCAATTTTGGATGCCTTGAATGATACCGTATTTAAAATTAACGTAGTGTTTATCAAATATTTAATATCTTGCTGAGTGTCAGGTACTGACTGTGCTAGATCCTGGGGCTTCAGCATGAACAAAACTGGAATTCCTGCCCTTGTGGTGAACTTGACAAATATACATTCATCCCTTAGCTTTTCATTCATTTTCAAATCTGAAAGTTTCCAGTTTATTGAATCAAGTTAGCAACAGAAGCAGACATCACTAGAAACATTCCAATTTATTTTTGGCAAAGAGAAACTTCAAAAACTAAATATACAGGCATATCTCGTTTTATTGCGCTTTGCTTTATTATGCTTCTTACAAACTGAAGGCAAGCCCCTCCCCCATTTGATTACAACTCGCTTTATTATGATACTCGCTTTATTGCAGTTGTTTGGAACCAAACCCACAACATCTCCAAGGGATGCTTGTAATGTCAAAAACTGACAGTCTGGAAGAGGTGTGAGGACAGATGACAGTACCAGAGAACCAGACTGGGCTGGAATGACTGTACAGAACACACATGGGAGAATACACAGAGACACTTTTCTGCTATTGATTTATAATAGACTTATTTATAAAAATCAGTCCCATAGAATGAGAAATGCTAGAGACTAGAAGACAAAATATGACCACAGGCAAATGGGAAACTGTAAAATGATAAATCAATCAATAAAGAAGACCAGTAAGAATAGGAATTAATTTGATGGGTCTAAATTTCATGGGTCAAAACATCTCTTTCAGATACTAGATTATGTAAAGCTATACACAACATTTTATCATATGATCCAGTACTGGGGGACAAAAAGAAATAGTTAAGTTACCTTGCTATACTCTTTATTGTCACCCAACTGCTACTTTATCCTGAGTGTATTACTTTGCTAGGGTGGCTTGAAGAACAGGAAAGTTACTTCTCACAGTTCTGGAGACTAAAAGTCCATGATCAAAGTGTCATCAAGTTTTGTTTTTTTTTCTGAGGTCTTTTTCCTGGGCTTGCATGTGGCTACCTTCTCACTGTAGCCTCACTTTTTCCCTCTGTTCTTGCATGCCCCTTGTATCTATCTTTTGTGTTCAAATTTTCTCTTCTACCAAGGGCACCAGTTAGATTAAATTAGGGGCCACCCTCTCTCTGTCCAAATTCAGTCGCATTCCAAGGTACTAGGAGTTAGGCCTTCAATACATGAAGCAGGGAAGAGCACACAATTCAGCCCATAACAATGGGGTAAATACAAGAACTCACAGATTAAAGTGTGATGTTTGAAGATCACATAAAAAAATAATAAAGCTATTTTGATTTGACTTCTATATAATCCAAGCTGGCTCAAGAGGACACTTCAACTAATTCAAGAGCTCACTACTCCAATAATAATAAACATCTGGACAATCTCCTAACTTTCTGCAAAATATGTCTGGAAGGGGAAAAATTGTTATCCCTATTCATTAAAATCCCATTTATACATAAAACACTGGTTATTAACCTTTTTTGCAATTGCCAAGCCCTTTGGAATTCTGATGAAAACAAATGAGGCTCTCCTGAGAAAAGGGCATGCATCTACATATCTACAAAGTTTGGTATTATCATTGCAGGAGATTCACAAACCACCTCCCTAAAGCTCATCAGAATCCAGGCACTCGGGTTAAAGGGCACTGACCTAAAGGACCATTTATTATCTAAATTAAAAACTAAGTGTCAGAAATTTCAAGTTATCTCTGAGCCTCTGGGTGGTCTCCCTTCATTGTGTCTCTTTAACCTGACAAGCAGCTCAGTATCTTGGAAAAATGCCTCTTGGACTTTTAAGCAGAATGTGACTCTTCATTTGTAAAATAAAAACAGATTTGAAAACTCAAAAAAACCAAGTGTCCACAAAATGGAACAAAATACTTGAAATTGAGATTATCTTGAAAAATAAAGGAAAAACAAACAAACAAATGAAAATTAAGAATACAGAATATGTAGCAACCATCTTTACATTTAGCTACTTCCCAAAGATCTGGAAGTAGCTAATGATTAACCAAATAATATCGGAATAAATTTTAATCCTACCAGCCAACAATAAAGAGAGAAAGAGAAGAAAATAAGCATTATTTCAGAAAATCTAAACTAAGAAAAACCTGCAATTTAGTACAAAATCTTAGAATAAAAAGAGAAAATAACAATAGGTAGAAATTACTAGGTTTCTTATTTACTGAAAAAAAAGAACCATTATTTTCTACATACCAAACTCAAAGCCAACAAAGATAATGTTGTGTTGTAAAATTTTAAGACTCAGCTTGTATTCTACTCTCTCTACTCAAGGGTAGTCTCTGATTTTCCTCAAAAAGCAGCTCTGGACAGCTGGTCAAAACAGAACCTTATGTGGAATTCCACTCACTATTCCACCTCAGGAATTCTGTGGATAATTTCAGCAATATGTAAGCTCTCAAGGATGGGGACCCCTTGTCTGCCTGGTTTACTGCTGTTGCCCCAGAGTTTCACTCAAAAAACTGTTTGTTGAATTGGAGTAAATGATGTATTCTACATGAAGCAATCTGAATCAACAAGGCAAGAATGTAACATTCATTTCTACTGTACAAGCACCTCAACTGGATCACTCTAGCCTTGAGTTGGATCTAACAAAGTACAGGGTGGGCAAAAGTAGGTTTGCAGTTGTGAGTATATGAAACAGTTTATTCTTATTATTATTTCTTAATTATTGTATTATTTTCTATATGAACAACTGTAAACCTACTTTTGCCCAGCTTGTATTAACAACAAGATGAAGGCTCAGAAAACAAAACTGCTATTCATTTAAGAGATGTATTATACCATCATTTTCTAGAGTTACCTAAAAGATAACCTGCTAAAAAAACAAACAAACAAACAAAAAAACTTGCTAAAGACTCATTTGGCAAAATGCTGAAATTTTTGAGTTTTATTTCCTGATCTAACTTTAATTTCCCTTCCATGTCCATTTAAAATGATCACAGGTCTAAGTTCATCTGGAAAGCAGACTCTCAAAATCCCCCAAAGAAAAGCAAAAATTAGGTTTATTCCACTGCAGATGTACCTGAAGATTATAATCAACTATACTTATTAGCTTTGACTAAAGAGCACATTGAGCTTGAACAAGATCTGAAGAAAGTAAAGAAGAAAGGGAGTAGTAAGAATATGAGGGGAAAGAAGTCAGTTATCTGGTCTGTTGAAGAAAATCTCCCCTATTAACCCCACCACAGACATTCTTATTGAGCTCACCTAAGCTGGTCAAACCCTAGGCTTTAGAACACTTTATAGTGCTCCAGCTTCAGCTGCTTGCTTTAAATGAAATATCTACGAGGTGAATGGGGTTTTTTTCCCCAAAAACCAATTATTTCCAAAAATAAAAATATTATCATATTATAAATATTAATAGAGAACTATTTGGAAGGTCCTCAAAGACACAAAGTGGGCACCAGACCCTTTGGATAATACTCAAATGTAAAAGGCAGAAGTTATGCAATAGGACATACTGTAAATTAGAAAAATGAAAAAAATCAAATTATCTTCCAAGCCTCTTCTATAATTTTACAAAAAAACCTGTATAATTTTGAAACTCAGGTCTTCTATAAGTAACACCAAAGCTAACTATACTAAAGAGACATATTTTAGACTTTATTACTCCCAATTCCAAATCAAGCCTAGAACAGATTTTTAGAAAATCAAACACATAGCTCATTTTAAAAATAATTTACATAAGCGGGTAATACTTTAAAACAGTACTTTATAATATTATACAAATAGAGAAGTTACATACTAATTAGTGTGTATATTTATCCCTAATTCGTATTTCTAGCTGGAAAATAACCATCAGTAAGCACTCTATGACAACTTCCTAACTAGATGAACTGTATGGTCTGGAGTCATTCTGCAGTAACCAACTACTTAATATAGTATATTGCACATCAACACCAAATCAAGTACTACATTTTAATTACTGCTACAAAGCCATAGAGAAAGAATACTAATTCAAAATAAAATAACTTAAAGCCATTAAATGACTTAAATAAAATTTATTTCCTGATCAGTTTTGATTAAAAAATAAGGGGACGGAATGACAGAAATAGATACAATTTTTCAACTTTTAGTGAATTAACAGATCTAGAGGCATTGATCATCAGTAGCTGCTAGCATCCCAAAACTGAAACACAACCAGACATTACATGCTCCTGATGGAGGTGGAAGGCACTTTAAAAAAATCAATACTAATCTGGTCAATCCTTAATCAGCTACCAATATACAGGAAACACAAGAGAGAGAAAAGTTGAACACCTAAGGGACACAAAACAGCAAAATCTAGATTAGGGAGAAACTACAGAACAAAATAAGGCTAGTTTTGTCAAGCAAGTTCCAAGAGAAACAGAAAGACAGAGATTGAGGGGAGCCTATACATCAAAAGAGTCTTAAATTAATTATGTGGATCCTGAATCAAACAGATATAATGTAAAAATTAATATCTGTGTATGTATACATGCATGTCTAAATTTTTAAGTTCTCATCTCTTAAGATATACATCCTAAAATCTTTCTAGATTAAATTATATGTCTGAGATTTCCTTCAAAACAATATGGGAGAAGAAATGGTTGGGTGTATAGATCAAACAAAAATGGCCATGGCCAGAACCGGTTTGGCTCAGTGGATAGAGCGTCGGCCTGTGGACTCAAGGGTCCCGGGTTCGATTCCGGTCAAGGGCATGTACCTTGGTTGCGGGCACATCCCCTGTAAGGAGCGTGCAGGAGGCAGCTGATCGATGTTTCTGGCTCTCTAGCCCCTCTCCCTTCCTCTCTGTAAAAAATCAATAAAATATAAAAAAAAAATGGCCATGAAACTGGGTAATGGCTAAGTGGGGGGCTATCATACTATTTCTATATTTTTGTACTTAACTAAATTTTTCCATAATTACTGGTCTTTTAAAATGTCCATTACGCACACACAGTGTGGAGCTGCATACCATCTGATTTGAAGTGAAGAAACTGTGGAATTCAGTGGTTCCCTGGGCAGGGCAGCTTTGCAGGGCTCATTGTAAGTCCCTGCCTACCAAGCCACAGGCTGTCTGATGCATCCACTCCTTCCTGGTTCAGACACAGGGCACCAACTAACGTAAGTTCTTGTCCTACTCCACACCCATTACTGAAAACTGGACAGGAAATCAGAAAGCAACAAGAAAGATAGAAAGAAATGAAAGAGAAACAAACACAGGCAAATAAAATCCTATATAATAAAAGCCTAATATGCTAAGTGTCCGGTCGTCTGGTTGGCCATTCAACCAATCAAAGCATAATATGCTAATGATATGCTAAGGCTGCTCAACCACTCACTATGATGTACACTGACCACCAGGGGGCAGACGGTCTGATAGGTTAGCTTGCTGCTGGGGTCCAGCCCACCGGGACTGAGCAAGACAGGCCAGACACACCCTGGAGCCCTCCGGCGGTTCCTCCCTGGCTGGCCAACCTCCCGTGTCCCTCTCTAGCCCCGATCATGCACCAGTGGGGTCCCTCTGCCTGGCCTGTGCCCTCTTGCAATCTGGGCTGAGGGACCATGCCCCCGAGTGCACGAATTTTTTGTACCAGGCCTCTAGTCATTTTATAACAAGCCACTCCCCTCCTCATTCACCCACAGGGAAGGGAAAAATGACAGCATTAATATTAAAATATTACTACTAATAATAATGTAGCCACTGATATTTATTGGGCACTTAAACTTTACACTAGTCTAAAGAGTTTCATTATATATGTACAGACAGTCCTTGGGTTATGTCGGACTTGATGGACGTCATTTCGTGGTTATGTCGCCATCTCCCATTTATTTATAAAAAAAAAAGTTCCGTCATTTCGACGTATGTACATATGTGCTTTATGTTTTTTATTATTTATTTACCACAAGTAAAGGTCAGGAATTATCTTTCTTTAAATTTTTTTTTACTGTTTCACTTCATTACTGCTGTGTATGTGCTCCATGTGAGTGACATAGGTGCTTATGTAGGTGGGTTCCGACTTACGGCGAAAATCACGTCACGTTGCGCCGTAGGAATGGATCTCCGACGTAACCCGAGGACCTACTGTATATGAATTAATTAATTTCATCTTCATGAGAAATCTATGAAATCAATACAATTATTGTTATTCCCATTTCACAAATGTGGAAATTGACCAATTAAAGTGTAATAAATAATTTTAATGAATGATATATGTTTAATGAATATATAATTAATATATAAATCATAACTATACTTACTATACACTTACATAGAATATATTTATTTAATGAATATATTTGTGAACATAAATATAAATGTAATTACAACTTAATGAATATTTTAATTTAGTGATTGAATATACAAGTGGCAGTTCATCTTAGAACGCTAAGTGCTGAATCATTTTTTAAATGTGCTTTACAGTATTTTAAATGAAGCCTTGTGTGCTTGTATACACACATATTTATATAACAAATGATTAATAGTCAGAAGAGTCAAATCCTGCCCAAAGGTCACCAAATCAGTGGTACAGAGGTTCCTAATTATAAGTACAGTATATTTATGACTGTATTTTCTAAACCCTCAAATCCCAGTAGTTAATCCATTCTTCAAAAGGAAAAATAAGTCACAAATCAAAGTCACTTGAAGTTCATTTTAGCAGAAATGTTTCTCTTTGCCCAGTAAGTAAAGACCCAAAGATAACTAAGCATATGTAGATCCAAGGTGAACAAAAAGTCCAAAGAAAATTGGACCATCAACTCATGAAGGGTAGGGGTTCCTGTCTGATATAGATTCCTGCAAAAGATCAAGCACAGAACACTTTACATATAAGAGGAGCTCATGAAAAGTAAATGCCAGGAACTATTCTACAACAGCATTCTAGTCCTCTACATCTTCATCAATCTGGCCTCCAAATAAAGGGGGAAATGCTAAGGAACTCCTTTGACTGAAAAAAACACCTGTCCTTCATTGTCATGCAGTCTAATGGATCTACCTAATTTGATGGGTGAGAAACCCAGTTTGGTGAGGCAACCTGGGGCCCTCTGGAGAACACTGCATAAGCTCAGTTCCCCAAATCCCACCCTACCTCCCACAAGGAAAAATCTGTTCTACCACATCACTTCCTTATTTCTCTACAAAGCCTCAAAAATCAACATCTCAGTCATCAAAGGTTGTTAACTTAGCACAGCTAATTTTCAACCTTTTTCATCTCATGGCACACAAAAACTAATAGTACTAAAATCTGTTGCACAACAATAATACACGCACGCACGCACGCACTGAGTGGCCAGATTATTATGGCCACCTGACGTTTGTAGGCAAATTAGCTATAATTTCATGCTGAAGTTGCTAGAGGGCCAGACCATTATAAATAGGGAAGCAGGTTGTTTACCACAACGGAAGTAGTGATTTTTTTCTGAAGATATGGGTAAACAACGCGATTTAACAGCCTTTGAA